ACATTGGACAGTTGCGATGTGCTGCTGGGACGAGATTGGCTACAACGATACAATCCGACGATCGACTGGACGACGGGAGCAATCACGGTGCTGAGCAACAAGGGGCGCGTGACATTTCCGAAATGGACAGAGTCGGAGCCAATGACAACACGTGTCAACACGTGTCAAACGAGGAGCGCAAGGCTACGCCGTACATCTGTACGAAATGGTTGCGTCCGAAAAAATCTCCGGCATTCACACACTCTGCGCTGCTGTACCAGGGGACGTGGCGAGCATAATTTGAAGGCATCTCGAAATTTTCGCGGATGACCTGCCTGACGGGCTGCCACCCCAACGACCAGAAGACCACATGATCGACCTGGAGCCAGGCGCACAACCAACTGTTCGGTCACAGTGGCGGCTCAGCCAACCGGAGCTCGACGAGTTGCGGAAACAGCTGGATTATCTGCTTTCGAAGGGTTTTATCCGGCCGAGCACGTCACCCTACGCCGCCCCAATACTGTTCACGCCAAAGAAGGACGGAGGCCTGCGCATGTGTATCGACTATCGAGCACTGAATCGGATCACCATCAAGTCACGTTACCCGATTCCGCGAGCGGATGACCTGCTGGATCAACTTCGTGTGGCTCGCTTCTTCTCGGCAATCGATTTGCGAGGTGGCTATCATCAAATTTTCGTGTTCGCCGACGACTGCCCGAAGATTGCGTTTCGAACCCGCTACGACAGCTACGAGTATACAGTGATGCCGTTTGGATTAACGAACGCGCCCTCGACCTTCCATCTCACCATGAATGGGGTGTTTCGGGACATGCTCGACAAGAAATTTATCGTCTACTTCGACAACATCCTGGTGTACAGCAAAACTCGAGAGCAACATTTACGGGATTTAGAGGAGGTGTTCCAGCGCTTGCAGCAGAATTGGCTGATTAGCAAGGGCTCTAAGCGTGAGTTCTTACAGCCGGAGCTGGAGTTCCTAGGGCACGTGGTTTCAGGGGAGGGTATTAAAATTGACCCTCGCAAAGTGACGGCAATTTCGGAGTGAAAGCCGCCCACGAACATCACGGAGTTGCATAGTTTCCTTGGCTTCGTTAACTACGTCCGCCGCTTTATACCGAATATGGCGGGGGTGACAGGCCGTTAACTGATCTTCTGCATATGGGCGTGCACTTTTTTGGGGGGGAGAAAGAACAGTTGGCTTTCGACGAGCTGAAGAAATTTTTGAGTTCACCCCCGGTGCTTCGGCTGGCAGACCCATCTCGACCGTTCGAAGTCGTGACGGACGCCAACGATTTCGCCGTCGGTGCCGTCCTTCTACAGGATTTTGACAACGGGCTGCAACCAATCGCGTATGAGTTACGAAAAATGCAGCCGCCCGAGCGCAACTACCCTGTACATGACAGAGAAATGCTCACCATCGTGCATGCATTTCGTACCTGGCGCTGTTATCTCACGGGAGCCGACGTCACGATCAGGACAGACCACAAGTCACTGCAGTATATGCGCAGCCAACCACAGCTCAACCCGCGACAAGATCCGGTGGCTCGATTTCCTCGAGTCAAATTTCACCTACACCATCACCTACAAAAAGGGCGCCAACAACATCGCCGACGCCCTAACCCGCCCATCAATGCAGACCGCAGCAGTACTAATCGCCCATTCTAACCCTTTATTGGCAGGATTATTCAAGCACGGCTACATGACTGATTGGTTTTTCAGGACGAACCAACACCAACGGGTCACTACGGCACAAGGGATCTACTACCTAAAAGTCGGTACTAACCAAGTTTGGGTACCTTCCTACCGACCCCTACGAGAGCTGCTGACGCAGGAGGTTTACGACTCCAACCTCTCCGGGCACTTTGGCATTGACAAAACGTTAAAGCTGCTGTAGTGGAATTACTACTGGCCCGACATGGCGTCGGACGTGCAGCACTATGTGTCCGCCTGCCCGACCTGCCAAGCGATGAAATCATCACACCAACGCCCAGCTGGATTGCTACAGCCCCTCGAGCCACCCGAACGACCGTGGCAACAGGTGACAATGGACTACGTCACCGGACTGCCAGCTGGCGCAAGTGGCAACGACTCGGTGCTGGTCGTCGTTGACCAATTCACGAAAATGGCGCATTTTGCACCATGCCGCATGACGATCACAGCCGAAGAAATAGCGAAGCTGTTCATCTCCACCGTCGTACGCCTACACGGGTTACCTTTAGCAATCATCAGCAATCGGGATCTGAAATTTACGTCGAAGTTCTGGTAGGAAACATGGGCACAGTACGGAATCCGCCTGCAGTTTTCGTCGTCATACCACCCGCAAACCAACGGACAGACAGAGAGGACAAACCAGACGATGGAGCAGTTAATTCGCACGAACTGCCCCGACATCACCAAGTGGGAGGATTCACTCCCCATGCTCGAGTTTGCGTACAACAACGCACCGTCTACGACGACTAATCAGTCGCAGTTCTACCTCAATTACGGGATAGACCCTGTGGTACCCTCTTCAACGACTCCCGACAACCCGGTACCACGGTCGCAGCAGTTCGCCTCGGAACTTCAAGCAGCTCGCGACAAAGCAGCGAATTCTAGACACGAAAAATCTTCGCATGCCCCAACCTGCTAAATTGCGTCCCCGCTACGTGGGACCTTTCCGCGTCATTCGGATGCTGACCCCGATCACGGCGAAATTTCTGCTTCCGGACGACTGGAAAATCAACGATGCTTTCTACGTCAGCTTGCTCCGCCATTACGTGGCTCCGCAGCCGTGCGACGTTGCCCGCCCCAACATCGCGCCAAGTGTTCGGCCTGTGGCAGACCCGACACTTCAGCCCTGGAAGATTTTGAATAATCGCATCAGTGCGACCCCGGCTGGACGCCACGTCGATTTCCATCTACGTTGGGTGGACCGCATAAGCGAGGATGACACGCGGGTCCCGGCTGACTTACTACAAGGCCACTCGCAGACGCGTGCCTGATGTTGACCACCTTTCTCAAAGGGGGGGGGGGGGGGGGGTAGCGTAAGGAATTTTCCTAATTCCTTACTAAGGCACTCCGTACGCGTACAATTCCTACTTTTCGGAGTTCAGGCTCGGTCCGCCGACCTCGCCTTCCGAACGTCCCTCGCGTCGCTTTCGGGTTTCCCAACCCTAAACCCGCACCCAAACCATCTCGCGATTCCGCGACCTCGGCCTAGCTAGCCTTGCTATATTATATCTAGGCCTCATTGTTTGCTCAGTAGTTGTAATCACTTCCGCGATATTGCATTCTCCGCACTCTTCTTTCGTAACACCTGCTGTACGATATGTTGAAGTACGCGGTAAGGAATGCCGAAGAATTCCTTAGAGAAGCAAAGCACGAATAATTGGGGTGTCTACACACGCCCTTAGGGCTCAGGGTGGAGTGGTGAAGCTAAGGACGCGTCACCTCCCTCGATCGATCGTGCAAAATCGAGGAAGATCGATCGTCCACCTCACTAAAATTCCGCGTGTCGCATTTAAATTTGTTTGAAAACTTTTTGAACCGAATCAAAAATCGATCCTGCGCAGGATCGATCGAGGCAGGTGACGCGTCCTAAATAGAAATTTCTGCACCTACTTATTAGCCGAGCACGAATAATTGGGTGTCGCAGGGTGGTCGCATGCGATTTCAGGAGTTCCGAACCTAGTTTCGCGTCAAAATCTGACTTCGTGCTCGTAGCAGCTGGTCAGACTCTGGGTTGACTTCGATGACACAGTCATGTTCAGCTTGTTTTGTTAGCTTTTCCAGTCAGCAAAGCTAGACGAAAAGAGATGCACTCTCAGCTTAGCCACTGGCAGTCAATATATGCTGACTCGGCGTCACGCCATCAATGCTACTCTTCAGACTTATTTTTCTGTAGCAGGCATCTGAATTCTGGATAGTAGGGTTCCGTAGGTTGCGTGGGGCCACGTCAACAAGACATTCTGAGTGTAGCTTTCTACGTCAATTGGTCATCGTCAACAGCCTTATCCTCGCCTCTACACGTGTGGAGAGATTTGGACAACCGAAGCAGCGCAGAACGTTGCGGCTGATGTCATATTAAATTGGTCCAATCATGGGGTATCGTTGCGCAACGATGCCAGTGAAATCCACCGCAACAGGTTCGGCAGGCGTCTCGACCGACGTCAGGTTGTCCGCTTGGTTAGGGGATGGGAACGCCACCTGGGTGTTAGAGGGCCCTACGACAGCAAGGGCCCTCGATGACCTTTGACTTGGCAGGTCGGCGCCTAACGACTGAGTCTACTCGGCACCGACTCTACCAAGTTGCTGGCGCAACATCATTCCCATAACAGAGACTCTCTCGCTATCGCTACGCTCTCTAATATATTCCTTCACTGGGAACGTCCACTCGGCGGCATGTACCACGCCCGCTCGCCTTTCCTATCTCTTCTTCCGGCCTCGTGTGTCAAAGTTCCGCAGTTGCTTCCCAGGCCGCATCACCACCCCACACTGCGCAGCACGCCGTCGCGTCTGCTTTACTCAACCTCCTTCCTCCGCTCCCAGTGTTCCCACCCCACCCCTCGTACCACCTCGGTTTCAGCACTGGCAATCTCTATTATTGCTACCTACTACTAGTAATTTACCAGCAGCACTTGTATTTGTCGCTACTAATGCCACTAGTAGTACCAACAGCAAGATCCCAGGATTGTTGCTGTGGGTCTTAGAAATTGACAAGTTCTGAGTGAACCGCCAAGGCGCGCGACGCTGCCCACCGCCGCAACTGCCGCCAATGCCAAAGTGGGCTCCGGCCGCCCTCCCCCTGCGATGAAGCAACAGCGAGGAGCCTCGTGCCTCCTCCGGCTTGCTACTGCTGCTGCTGCCGGCACCATCATGGCGTTCTGGCTTGTCGCCTTCAATGCCTCGCCGTGCCATGCGCAAATCCTTACAGGCGGCACCCCACCAGGAGTACTGATTAACGCCACTCAAGGTAGTACTACTAGTAACCTGTAGCACCACCGCCCGGCCTCACTAGGCAGATCATGTCAAGTACTACGCTTGTCGATACCACCAAGGTACTTGCGAGTTGGACGAGGGATGGTAGTAACACCTCTCCCTCCCTCCTCCCTCGCTCCCTTCTCTCTCCCTCCTTTCCTCCGTCCCTCCATCCCTGCCTCCCTTCCATTCCTCCCTCCCTCCCTCCCTCCCTCCCTCCCTCCCTCCCTCCCTCCCTTCATCCCTCCCTGCCTCCCTCCCTTGCCTCTCTGCCTCCCCCCCTTGCCTCCCTGCCTTGCCTCTCTGCCTCCCTCCCTCTCCTTCCTGCCTCCCTTTCTGCCTCTCTGCCTGCTTGCCTGCCTCCCTCCCTCTCTCCCTCCCTCCCTCCCTCTCTCCCTCCCTCCCTCAATCCCTCCCTCCCTCCCTCCCTCCCTCCCTGTCTCTCTCCCTCTCAGCTTCCCCCTTGCCTGCCTTGCAGCTCATGTCACTAGGTGCCGCTGCTCACAGGTTGGTGGCGATTCAGCAGCGTTTGTGCTACTCATGTCATTCCGCGTCTTCTCTCGTGCCCTCTCATCTCCCTGACTCATCAGCCGTGTTTCTCAACGACAGCCAGGCCGCATGGGGAAGGACGCTTCCTGGGTGGACGGCGGGAGCCAACTGCAGCAGCGCGCAAGGGATAAGCTGTGACGCGTCAGGCATGATTTCCGCAATGTGAGTGCATGCTTTACTCCGGACAAGTACTCATTCAATTTGTTCTGCTGCCGGCTGGGTCTGCTCCCGTTGCTGACCCTTCCCTTGCTAGTGTCCCGGAAGGAACGTTGTATCCGGGTATTGTATTCTCATCATCAGTCAAAGCCGGCGTCAGTGGCGAACATACACCAACTTTATATGCCCCATACCATGCACAGAGATCTAAACAGCAACTCTTTGACGGGTTCCATCCCCAACAGCATCTCCTTGCTCACTGCGCTTAAGTCATTGTGAGTCCGCACCAGATCGTCATAAGGTGTGCCACGTCATGTGGCATGTCATGTGGCACCGTTCACACCTACGTTCCTAACACTCCTGGTTCTTCCTCGGTCCTATCGACCTTGACCAATGCCTAGCGTACTCCTTGTTCTTCCTCGGTCAGCCAGCTTGCTTGTTCTTCCCCGGTACACATCGTCGTTCTTCCACACACACCAAGCAACTACAGCTCCTCTTTTTGCCGTCACTATCTTGCATGCGCTCCCCGCTCACTCCAATTGTGCCGCGCTTCTCATGCCCACACCACAACACCACCCTCTCCCCTATGGCCTAGGGTGAGCGAAAATTCACATCATCGAGTCTCAGCATCACCGCAGGCTTGCTCCCCCCTTTTCCCACCCCACCCCACCCCACCCGACCCGACCCAACCCGACCCGACCCCACCGCATCCAATCCTTCATTGCGTACAGGGTCCTCTTTGACAACGCTTTCACAGGCTGCATTCCCAGTGGCATCGGATCGATTACGGGTCTTCAAAGCATGTAAAATTTGCGTGCATGGTGTGCTGGTGAACAGGCTGACATGGTATGGCATGGCATGGCATGGCACGGGAATGACAATGGCAATGGCTGGCATTTTTGGCGAAGGCTAACATTCCTTCTTGTGATGGAGGCAACACGCCTCACCTCAACTCAACATTTTTCACTGCAAGTATTTGCCATTAGCCTTCATCCTTCTTCTTTCCTCTCTTCCGATGGCTTATTTTTTTTTCATCCATTTTCCTTCACTCAGCTTCGTGCAATGCCCTACTTGCAAATTCCTTATTCTGGGTCTCAGATACTTGAGTAACAATCAGCTTGAGGGGTCTATTCCAGCTGCTCTCGCAAGCTTCCCAAACATGTTTACTTTGTAAGTAATGACTTCGAAGGTCCGTTTCTGGAAGCTTTTGTGCTGGAATTCCCTAGGAGCAAGCCTTTATGTGCACTGGCTGCCTCAGCAACTTCTACTGCAGTGATAATGCAGTATCACCGAACCTTTCTTCCATTGTTTTATCCACGGATATTTCTGTCATGGTTCATCAGATATATGAGCGACAATAAGTTAAGCGGGTCAATTCCAGCTTCTCTCACCACCATTGTCCAACTGCGATATCTGTAAGCACCGCGGCAAGCTTCCTGACACTCTATATTCTGATTTCATTTTAGCGTACGCATGCTCGCTTATTCGTCCACTCTGATCACTCTCCTTTTGCACAATAGGTTCCTTTTCCATGAAAGTCTTACAGCTTCCACTGGTGGTACCTCCGTCCCTACCCCTCCTCTCCCGCTGGGCCCGCTCGCCCTTCCCTTCCCACCCTCCTCCTGCTCCTGCTCCTCCTCTTCCTCCTCCTCCTCCTCCTCCTCCTCCTCCTCCTCCTCCTCCTCCTCCTCCTCCTCCTCCTCCTCCTCTCCTCTTGCTTTGCGAATCCAGGTCCCTGCAAGGCAACAACCTGTCTGGACCCTTCCCGTCAGTGCTGAGCTCTCTCAAATTGCAAACATTGTGAGAACTTAAAAAAACGGCAACACTCTTGGTGTATCAAAAGACTCTTCCATCCATCCAGCAACCCATCTTTCCTTTGTGTACGAAATAGTGGAATGTGAAATCCAACTTGACGAGGGAGGAGCAGGACAAGGGCCGGCCGACTTCTGAAGCACCTCAAACGTGACGGAGGTGCAGTATTGCAAGGGTGTAGCGCTAGTGGCACCTTGGAGGGAGGGGCTGCGCACGGAGAATCCTGGTGACCAAGCATGGCGTGTGTGTAACGTTGGGATTCAAAGGGAGCTTCGACCTTTCCTGGCATGGCCAAAATGAGTGAGGCACCTACACAGACCTGCCTCAGTTGTCACACCCACCAAACTCCCCTATATGTGATACCAGATGTAAATAAATTCTTCTGTCCACCCATTGTCCCCTCAACACCCCCGCTTACCCCTTACACCCCCCTGCTCCTCGTCTCTTCACACTCCCATCGATTCCTTGCCAATTTTCTCATCACCCCTGCTTGCCTCGCGTGACCCCCGTGGCATACTCGTCACAGGTGGGAAAGCTGGGTGACCCTCCTTGCATTGTGTGACCCCCCTTGCATTGCGTGAACCCCATCAGAAAGCTGGGTGGAAATCACTTTACAGGGAGTTTTCCGACTGAATATTCCCATCTGACATGGTTGAGTAATCTGTAAGTTCCTCGACTCAAGTGGCTGAGCATCAGCCCGAGTCGCCTGGGCCTGTTCAGTCACCTAGGCGCCCAATGTACGATCATAATTCAACTGTAAGTTCCTTGACACAAGTAGCTTCAAGCCAAAAGGCAATGCCCTAAGCTTTTGTCACATCTTCAAGGGTTCTTGATGAATGTTGCATTTCAGGTGGGTAGATGGCAACTCACTAACTGGAGAGCTCCCAGACATCTTTGGGTCCATGACAAAGCTTACCTCCTTGTAAGTATGAACAGTAATCTGAATATGATCTCCTTGCTACTTTTCCATGAGTAAGAAACTGTGACAATTTATTTCCAGGCCTAGCTTTGGACGAAATGAACATATTGGTATTCTTACTCACGCTGCTTCCTCTTTGTGTTTCGCTTGACTCCTGCAGTTTGTTCCCCGGGAAGTGGGATCGCTTGCACACCCTCCCTAGATGAGCCCACAGCCCTTTTCCTACCCTAGGATCATTCAGTTCTCCTTCCCCACACCATCTCACTTTTTGCTTGCACTTTTTATTGTCCCTTGATTATGCTCGTGACCCCTTCAGGAAACTGGATGGCACAAGTCTCAGTGGCCCTCTGCCCATGTCCCTTGGGAATCTCACTCGACTCAAAGTCTTGTATGTGATCCAGCATCCGTCCCCCCACAGTATGCATAAGTTTGTAATCATGGGTATCTGAATGGCCTTAGGCTTGGTCCTAGGACTTGGAAACAGTGGCATGCACTTATCGTACTGAATGCCAATAAGGGCAGAAGATGTTGGGATAACGCATACCTGAGGAGCTAAACCATGTGCATGAGTTCAGAAACCATGTACACAAACTTGGCTTCTGACAGATGAAGAACAATAGTTGTGAGGTGATTTGGGCGACTATATTTGAGAAAAGAAATGCATATATATATATATGTATATGTATATGTATATGTATATGTATGTGTATACATTTGTAGAGAATAACAAACAACCAAAATAACTGATTTTGTGTGATCTATCTTCCGTTGCAGAACCATCGACGGCACAAGCCTCACATGCCCTCCTGACAAATCCAGCTGCGGCTCCACCAAATCTGGAATGGCATTCTGCCAAGCATGCCCTTCGTTCTGCTCAAGTTGCAGTAAGCGTTTTTTTTCTCCTCTATTTGTTATTCTTGTTTACCCATGGTCGAAAACCATGCAGTACAAGAATTGTTCTCCAACGGCATGCACTAAAGTGTATGACTGCACTCTTGATATCACAGAAATACTCTTCGGGCACACCGTAAAAAAGCACCACCTCAAAAATCTTTGTTGGTTCACGTCATGCATTATTTACTCTGTTTTAACGTGTTATGCTGCGGCACTTGCCTCATATAGAGTAAGCGGTGTGCTGGATAGTGGCTCAAAATCTGACAGGAGCCATCTTCGGGTCGTGGCAGCAGCGCAGTTCTCCTACACGTGGTGTATCACATTTATTCAATCCTCCATTCATTTTCTTTGTTGACCAAGTCCGGTGTTGTCCTCGTGTCTGCTTGGCAGTGCCTGGCAATCGTCATTCATTTGTTATTATCGATGACATCTGATGATCGACAGAAAAGACGGATTGCTTCAACACCCGTCCCATTCCGTGAACCCTTGTTGCGTTGCATGCAGCATCCAGCAGCGAGTCAGCATCTGGAGGTGGAGGTGGAGGCGGTGTATCGATGGGACTCATCATCGGCATTTCCGTCGCCGCGGTGGTGCTTCTGCTGCTGCTGGTTGCCGTGCTGCTCTACGCCCGCATCTGGATGCAGAAGAAAGCTGGTACGAACGAACGAGCATGTCAACATTGAGTAGAGCTAGAACAGCCCCCTTGTTTTCCTTCAAAAGGCATATTTTCGTACTGAGGCCAGTGCATGCAACTACCTGCAGCGCTGCTGGTGAGTCTGGGCAAAGTCTATTGATATTCACGGCATCTTCTGCATGTGCGGCCTCTTGACCCCATTCCATTGCACGAGCAGCACTGGGCACCAGCCTGGCAGCGGCGCACTGCACGGAGTTCTCCCTGGAGGAGGTGCTCAAGGCCACCAACGACTGGTCCGACGACAACCTGCTTGGCTCGGGTGCCTTTGGTGATGTCTACAAGGGCGTCTCTCCCCGCGATGGCACCACACCCTGGGCTGTCAAGCGCGCCAAGCTCATAGACATGTCTCCATGGGCTGCGCGATCTGACATGACTGTGAAGGGGCAGAGGGAGAGCAAATAGGAGTAGGCGGGAGTGAGGGGAGGAGCTGCGCCATGCGCTTCCTTGGCCGATCAAGACTCGAGGGAAGGAAACCACCCCACTCTCCAGGTCCTCAGCCAGGCCCTTCTACATGGGCTCGGCGATCTGAGAGGGGAAGGGGGAGGTGGACGGGGAGAGGAAAGGAAGTGAGGAGGAGTGGATGGAAAGTGCTTCTTTGGCCACTTCATGCATCATAACATGTCGACATACCTGTGCGACCATGCCTGCCTGCATACACGGGTCCTTACTCCTCTCAGTGGCAGGCAGCTATGGATGCCGAGATAGCATCCTGGAAGTCCACAGGCACCTACGTTGACGAGGTTCCCCCACCTTGGGCGAACATAGTCGATGGCATGTGGATTTTCAGGGTGAAGCGGCCGCTGGGTTCTCCGCCTGCCTTCAAGGCGCGTTACGTTGCTCGAGGCTTCAGCCAGCGACAGGGAGTTGAATACTTCCAGACCTTCTCCCCCACCCCGAAGATGACTACTCTTTGGGTGTTGCTGCACGTCGCTGCTCAGCGTGACTACGAGTTGCACTCCCTGGACTTCAGTACAGCCTTCCTGCAGGGCAGCCTGCACGAGGAGATCTGGCTGCGCCGACCACCTGGTTTCACTGAGTCGTTTCCTGCACGTACTCAGTGGAGCCTCCGCCGGCCAGTCTACGGTCTCCGCCAGGCGCCTCGTGACTTCCAGAGGGAGGTGAGCGAGCCGCATATCGGGAGATGGCTGGGCAGCAGAGTGCATTTACCTGGGCATTATATAAATTAGACCACTACTGCTTACATCACAAATAAAGGCTATAAGTCTTTTTTTTCCCTTTTTCTTTTTACCTTTCCTGTTCCTGCGTGTTGGTTTTCTGTCCCTTCAGATCCTGCAAATGGCCGACAAGAACCATCCCAACATTGTGCGACTGCTGGGGTTTGCGGTGGGAGGGGACGTCAGGTCGAAGATCGAGCAGATCTTGATTTACGAGTTTGTGCCCAACGGTGACCTTGACAAGTGGATCGGACCAAGTGAGTGTGCAAGTCATTGTATGGCACCACTCGGATGTACGATTGTGGGAGCGTGTATGGGGTGATGGAGATCACATTCACTCATCTTCTGCCCATAAGGCTGGATATATAATCGAACACCCACTACTTGTTTCCTAGCCTTGGTCATACGTCTTGGTGAAATGCTTCCTTGGTGCGTCGTTGCCAGACCACTCATGCTGTCTGATGTGTGTTGTGAAACTCATTCCATGGCATGGCTTGTTGCAGAAGCACCATCTCCTCTGAGTCTGAAGCAGCGGCTGGACATTCTCATCGGCATTGCACGTGGCTATGAGTACCTCCACAGCTTCGATGTTGTGCATCGCGACATCAAACCCGCAAACGTCCTCATCACCAATGACATGCAGGCAAGTGTGGTTGCACAGGCACGGCGGAATGCATGATGTTGTCGACAAGCAGTGCGATTTAGACCCATGAGTTTCACGAATATGAAGGTTGTCTGGAGTCCCACGTCCTTCTTTGTCTTTGTGTCTGGCTCATTCGTAGTGGCATTCTTTGTGTTTCTCCTGCCAAAATGCCATGCTGGATGGACACACGAAGAATTTGGTTTTACTTTCTCCATCGTTTGTGCATGGTGGAAGAGCGTGGTGGTGGAAGAGCGTGATGGTGTTCCATGGAAGCAGTCAGAATAAGAGCTATTAGTTCCACGGAGAGCACTCAAGGGCCATACAGACAGAGGTTGTGTGTTTCTCCTGTCAAAATGCAATGCTGAGTTCGCACCAAAGAATCTCGTGTGTTTCTTCCTTCCATCATCCCTCCCCTTGTGTGTGCTACGTTCAATCATTCAAATCAATCACCCACTCGCCAGCCCAAGATTGCAGACTTTGGGCTGCTGAGGGCGGCAGAGGGCACGACAGTGGGCACGACTCGAATCATGGGAACACCGGGCTATGTGGATCCGGTTTACTCCCGGACGTCCAAGGCCACCACAGCCAGCGATGTCTACAGGTGAGCCACGAGTCAGGTTCAAATCGTGCAAAATCAGTTATTTTTGGGTATGCTACACAGGTTGTGGAGGTTGGGTTGGCTTGTTATCTCAGCTTAATGGTTCACTCACCACAACGCATGATGACCCATATGGGTGTTTAACGAGTTGGCCTATGCTTTATGGTGGCCACTTGGCCACCTGGCTAGCTTGCCAACTCGTCCAGCCTGGTTCTCTTGCGTGAGTAATGTCTCTTGCTTGTCCGACCAAATGTGCCATTCTCAGCTGCACACTTTCTAGCTTGCTTGCACATCCGTTAATCACACGCACCAACCTCTTGTGATACTCTCTTTTATGCATCTCTCCTCGCGCTGCTCTTGCTATCTCTCGCTCGGTGCAGCTTTGGTGTGCTCATGATTGTGGTGCTCACTGGACGCCCTCCGCTCGCCGAGGATGCCGGGGAGACCAAGCAGATCACCCCGTGGGTGAGTTCCCCAAGGGCAGCTTCTTTCATGCTCAATGTAGCCGCATTTCCTCCATGTAAGCGCAAGATCTTTCTTGTTTGGCTTCCTCACACTGCCCTTGCACTATTTCCAATCCTCCTGCGTTCCTCCAGGCATCGGAGTGTTTGTCCTCGGGTGACATTTCGAGCCTCAGGCACCCCACCATGGACGCCCCTGAAGATGCTGTTCAGCAGGTGGCTCGGCTGGCAGTGAGCTGCACCATGGAGCGCACTGCAGGCCGCCCAAGCATGGCGCAAGTTGCCGACGAGCTGCAGGCAGTCAGGGAGGAGGTGGCGGGGAAAGATGAACACAGCGCTGCCGTTAAGGTGGATGCTGAGGTCCAGGAGATGAAAGATGCTTTCGGAGGCGTGGAAAGTCTCGAGGCACAGCTCCAGATGATTGGGGATGACGGCAGCTTCATCACCGAACGCCATGTCTAGAAATGTGATGGGAATCCCATATAATGGATTATTTCCATCCCATGCCCATGTTCAGTTCATATGATGCTGTTTTGTTGTGTTTGCTGTGAGTTGCATTAGCCCCTTCTTTTCTTTTTATGCACAATGCTTACGGTACATTTGAAAGTGGTATAGTTTTTTTAGCTATCAGAAGGTTGATCGTGCCTAGGATCATCTCAGGAAGGTTCGCAAAGAGTGTATTGCAGCAGAAGAATTGACCTCAGGTCAGAGTGAATATAAAATTATTGAGATGATTAAAAAAAGCAAATACATAAGTTATGTATAATAGTACAAGGGGATTTGAAATGACCTAGACGAGCCATGTACTCTAAGTGGTACACTCCGTTATTGCAACGAGATCCAACCGTGCGACTCCAGATGGTTACGAACCTGTTTCCGCCATAATCCCTTCGCCACTGCAGCTGCCCGATGCTTCTGCCCCAATGGTCCAGATGCTGCTAACTGTACGGGACTCTTCACGTCAATTCGCATTTTCGCATTTGTACTCATTGCATTCTTCGCTTGCTACTGATAGGAGTGCACATCACTTCTCGAATTATTATTCGTAACACCCCATTCTCTGGCCGTAGCAAGTCATGACTCGCTTGACCACTCCGCAGATATTCGGAACAGTGCTTGCTATTACGATATGGAATAGTTGAATAAACATTCATGAGTAACAAATCCTTAACGCGAAGATGACTGCAGCGAGGACGAAAGACCAAGCGACGGGACAGTTATCGAGACAGTAGTTACAAGCAAGGAGAATTTGAAGTGCAAAGCGCGGGAAATGTTCAAACGGTTACCGAACCGCATACAAATGCCGAACCGTATGGTTGCGATGTTGCATCTAGATTAGCCCTAAGGGGAATGTACCCCCTCAGAGTACATGGCTAGCTAGGACCTTTTGTATTTTACTGTATTCCTATGTAAACCCTTGTACCTCATTGTAATAGTCACTTCTGTCGAGATTCAAATCTCCTTCTGACAAAGTCCGTATCCAACATTACCTAGCAATCTTCCGCTGCTACACTCCGTGCGATCAACCTGAGACGATCCTATAAGACGGTTCAGATTGTATCATGGTATGAGAGCCACTCAGGATTCTTCGCACCACCACCTTTGATTCAATTTTAAATTCAAGGTGGCGTTTGGTACGCACTCCCGCCGAAACATGGATGGAGGATCTGGCGGACAAGCGGCAAATACTGCCGAAGCCCCCGCCAACCCTACCGCGAACTCCGCGGGAAATACCACCGTCAGTAATGCGCTACTGGAGCAACTCATCCAGCGGATCTCTACGCTGGAATCAAGAATTCAACAACTGAAGAGCGGCAACCCGGAAACCGCTCAGCAACCCGAACAACCGGCCGCTCCAACCAAGGAACCGAGCCCAACCACCTTCGATCTCAAGTCAAAGTCTTCTGCTCCAACTGTCCCTCGTCCAAGTGACGAAGTCGTGCTCGCAGCCCAGAACAAGCTTCTGACTATCTCCAAGATTCAAACCAGCACCTTGTTTAGCGGGCGTGATTTTTACACCTGGGTTTCGAGCTCGAGCTACTTTTGCAAAACGCGCAAATCTTCTGCTACTTCGACAGAAGCTACGCTGGCCCCACCAGCGACACTGACGACGCAAAGGCTCAATATTACAACGAGTCACTCATGGCGTATAGCGTCCTGCTTCGCAACATGGCGCCGACTGAACAACTCGGCATTCGTCCATACAAAACTCTTCAAGCTCCCGCCATGGCCGCCTAGAACTACCTCAACAAAACTTACCAGCCCAAGGACTCCATGTCCTCCAGCCGTCTGCTTCAGCAACTCATGGAAGTCAAGATGGCACCTGGCAAGAAAGCCAACTCTTACATCAATCGCTGCCGAAGCGTCCGCGACCAACTTCTAAAGCTCGGAAACACAATTTCCGAAGACATGTTCGTCACCATCGTGCTTCGAAGGCTGGGACCACACTGGAACCCCTGCAATGCGCTTCTTCGCCAACAAGGGATCATTTCCGAAGCACACCTCTGCGCTACTCTGCTGCACGAACAGCGCGACATGGATTTCAATCAAGAAAAGGGGGCGCGTCGCGAACAAATTGCCTTTTATTCTAATCGCGACCAACGGAGGAATCGCAACACACGGCCACGACAATACTACTGCAAGAACTGCAAAGCTTTCGGGTCACTCCACGACACGACTCCGCGCCGCGCAACAACTCTGCCTATGGTCCGGATCACATGCGCCAGGCAAACCGACCGTCCTCGGACGATCGGTCTGCCCCGCGCCAGTCGCAACAGTCCGACATTCAGCGCGCACCGCAGAACAACAAAGCAGTCCGCCATGTCATGGGCAACATGGCGATGCGCATTCCCCGTCGTACTCGCCGCACCAATCGGCGACATTTGCGATGTGTCTCTCCTCCCCCGCCAGGAAACGAAGTCCAATTCAATGGCTACAACAACCCGTTCACGCAAGATGGGGAATTTGTCTCCGACGAATACGAGCAAGATTGGGATCTGGCGATACCCCTACTAGAGTCGCCGCCGCATGACGAAGACTTCCTCAATTTGCCATCAATCACCAGCTATTTCTACGATCACCACATCGACACTCGACCCGTGGATAACTACCGTGCTGCCGGCGATCGGCGCATCTTGTTTCGCAACACACCAAATCTGGCACTCTCGGCCCAACACCGCGCGAACTCCAACAACACATGGTACCTCGACAACTGCTGCGGGCAGCATATGGTGGGCTCCAGGCGCTATATCTCCAACGCAAGCGCCATCCCGCAACCCACCGTCGTCACGGTGGCCAACAATCAGCAACTCCAAGCACGAGCGTGCGGTATCGTCGTTCTCAAAGCACACGACAGCGACATTCATATCACGCTCAACGACGTTCTTAATCGTGGGGGATCTCCAATACAATCTTCTCTCCTACGACCAACTCGTACAAAGTGGAGTGCTAATGACCACTGACCTCGAGACACGCGACATCCTCATGCACTGGAAAGACTACAGCAAATCAAACAGCGAACCACGATACATCGGCCGAGCCCACTCCGAAGACGGCGTTTACATCCTCGACTTCGACATCCCAGACTGCAGCGCTGACTCAGGGGATCTCATCGACCTTTAGCCCCAAGACATTGTGTGGAATCGCAAACCCACACACCCAGACGGTCGCCCTTGGATCAAGCATCACGCTCACCCAAGGGAGATCGATCTGCACGCACCTGGACCAGATGGTCTCTGCCACAACTGCCGTACTCCAACAGCCTCCACAATAGACAGAACAGACATAACTCCGCCTCCTCCACGTCGTGACAGCCCGTCTCCTAACAGAGGAAAAACACCGGCCAACGAAGGAGAATCTTCTGCTGCAGCAGCACAGCGTCTCACAGCATCCACCACGTAGGCATGGACATCGTTGAGGAAGCGGAGTGGCAGACTCCTCACCCATCTGGCCTACGCGACGGAAAACTCGCTGCAGCACTCACTATTTTTCAGCCGCGCACAACTCGCACTGATCCCACAGTTTACAATCGCCTTGATCTCCTAACACGCTACACAGGACCTGGCGCATATGACGGCGATAACAACCCTCTCCCAATGACCTGGGAAACCTACCATGTCCAACACCCCTGGTCCCATCGCACCATGACCACCGAGGAGTTTCAGCGACATGAAGAAGAAGAAAGGCGTCGCCGCGCGGACGAAGAAGCAAAGGCGGCTGCAGCTGCAACAGCTGGAGGATGGGGGAGCGGAACTGGAGCTGCAGTATGGGGAAGCGGAACCAGCGCAACAGGATGGGGGGAGCATACACCGTCAACCATGGAGGAAGAAGAACCCATTGAAGAAGACATCGCCCACGCTGAACAAGAAGCAGCAGCAGAGGCAAGGGGACCATATGGTTCACCACATCCCCTTGGCATTCCCCCAGGCACCGCGCCACAAACTGATTCCTGGGGATCTCTCACCATTCCTCAACGCTCCTCCCCAGACTCCACAGACTCACGACCCCCCACTGACCGCGATACCATACTGCCCTACCGTACTTATCCCCACAGCCCACTTCACACTGAGTCCACCCCCATCGGCCCCTCAGACTCACCTGCTCCAAGCCCTCCAGCAACATTTGCCTTACCACCTCATCACATGCCACGTCCTGACCTCCCAGAAGAAACAGCAGACACGGATGATGGCCCAACACCTATCGCAACCATCACAACAGTCACTCCAACACCCACAATGAGTTCGGCTACAGCACGTTCTTGCTCTTGAACTCTCCATCTCACCACAGCCCATCCCACAGCCCACAGAACGAGCCGTAGCCAAACTCATGGCCTTTTACACACGCTCACCTGCCCTGCACACTCAGCCTGACCTTTGGCACAAACGCCTCGGTCACCCCTCTCAAGAAGTACTCAACAACTGCATTTGCGCACAAGTCTTTCTTCCAGGTACTCTCCTACGCCCAGATGGCACTCCAGTCCCCGTCAACACCACTCACCGCACCGACTGTGACATCTGCCCTGAAGCTGCTCTCACACACCAGCCCTTCAAACTACTTGAACTAGGGACCAACCGCTATGAGAAACTTGAGAAGGTCTACAGCGACTTTCTCGTGCTCACCAAAACCGGCCTCAATGGCGAAGAATACACTCTCACCTTCGTCGACGCTCACTCCCGCTTCGTCTGGGTCGCCAATGTCTCGCACAGAAGCAACGCGTATGACATCTTCAAGGTTTGGCACGCCAACACGGAGACTCAGTCCGGCTGCACCCTCAAGACCTGGCAGACTGACTGCGCAGCTGAATTCAAGAGCGATAAAATGCAAGCATACGTGGAGGGCAAGGGCATCTTTCACAAGCTCTCCCTTCCCTACGCACACCCCCAGCAAGGAGTCGCAGAATGCACCAACCGCACCCTCATGACTAAGGTTCGCGCCCTTCTACAGCAGAGCGACGTCGACGCGAAGTACTGGCCTTACGCCATGCATCACGCTGTCCGTCTGTACAACCTGCTCAGCACCACTGCCAACACCGACAACCTCTCGCCTCACCTCAAATTCACTAGCAAGCAAGGCGACGTCTCCATGCTCCGCGTCTGGGGGTGCATGGTGCAGTACCGCCCTGCAGCAGTGACCACGGGGAAGTTCGAACATCGCGCCCGCTGGGGTGTGCACCTCGGCATCAGCTTCGAACACCATGCCTGGAGCATCCTCGACCATGACACCTCACAGATCGTCGCGGCGCACGATGTTATCTTCTACGAAGACCTCTCCATTCGCAAGTTCCAGTGCGACCGCCATGCTGACCGTGTCCGCGGCAAGCATAACATCGCGGAATACGAGCGCCCGCCGCGCAGCTTCGCTGCACCTGAAGACGAAGCCGCCGCAGCACTCGCGGAACAGGATCCCACTGACCCCCACCCCGGCCCTTGCCCTTGGAGCGACGAAGACGAGGAGGACGGCGCTCCTCTCGACTTCTCTCGTGACTCCCTCCTCAGTCCCACACCCTCCAGCGCAACAACTCTGACGATGACGTGGTGGAAGTCACCAGCGGTCAGCGCCACAGCCTCGGGATCTCCGGCCTGCACATCCTCGCCTCCACACCGCTGTGTCTCGCCCGCCCAAAGTAGTTGAACCCAAAACCCCGCGTCAAGCTCTCACTGGCCCCTACGCAAAGGAGTGGCGCGCCGTGATGGATGCTGCAGTCGCCGTGCTTGAAGCTCGTGATACATGGGTCCTCGCTGATCGAGCTGCCTTGAAGTGGAGACGCGTCCTCTCGGGGGAATGGGTCTTCCGTGTCAAAACCACCGCGGATGGCACCATCGAGCGCTTCAAGGCCCGTTGGGTTGTTCGTGGGTTCGACCAACGCCACGGCGTTGACTTTGGTCAAATCTTCGCCCCTGTCAGCAGACACACCTCCGTCCGCATTCTCCTCGCCATCGCAGCTGCAAAGCATCTTCCCCTCCGCCAAATCGATGTGAAAAACGCCTTCCTCTACGCTCCCGTGGATGCCCTCATCTTCGTCGAACAGCCTCACACCTACGGCGACGGCGACAATCGCGTGTGTCAGCTCCGCAAATCAGTCTACGGCATCAAGCAGGCGCCACGCCTCTGGCAGCAGTACCTCCACCAAATCCTGCTCGACATCGGTTTCCTCCAGCTGCCTCACGACCCAGGCATGTACCGCCTCCACTACCGCGGAAACTACATCCTCCTCACGGCGTACGTTGACGACCTCCTCTACACTGGCACCAACAACGACCTCCTAGCTCAGTTTGAGAAGAACCTCAGCAACCGCGTCGAAATCACCAGCACCGATCAAGTCACCCAGTTCCTGGGCCTCAACATCTCCTACTCTGCTGACGCCATTCACCTCTCCGCCTCCAAGTACGCTGAAACTCTTGCAACCAAGTTCAACATCAAGCCGACCAACCTCTCCACACCTTACCGCACCCCAGCCACACCACATCTCCTCAACACAACCCCACTCAACCCCTCTGGACATCAGCTGTACCAGCAGCAACTCGGCTGTCTGCTCTTCACCGCAGTCACGTCCAGGCCGGACTTGTCCTACATCTCGAGCCAACTCGCTCAGTATGCCAAGCAGCCTGAAGGGGAGCACATGCTGGATTTACAACGCGCTTTGCAATACTTCATCTCCACACCGCACATCGGCCTCACCTACTCAACCCTCACGACCCGCTCCTTCAGCCTCTTCGGCTACGTGGACGGAGATCTTGCCGCCGACCCTGCGAATCGACGGTCCCGAACCGGCTTCCTCTTTCGTCTCGAGCCTACCGGACCAATCTCCTGGAATTCCCAAAAGCAAGAAATGATGGTGCTCTGCTCCGCTGAAGCCGAGTTCATCGCCGCCACGTCAGCTGTTCGCGAAGGTCTCTACCTTCAGGAGCTGCTTCAAGAGGCGAAAAGGGCGACATCAGCAAGCTTCAAACTTCACTGTGACAACCAAAGCGCGATAAAAATCGCGAACAAGCCTGGTTTTGTCAACCGCACCAAGCACATCGCACTCCGCTATTTCTTCGTCAAAGACGAAGTTGACAAAGGCAAAGTCATCTTGACTTATTGCCCCACTGGTGACGTGGTAGCTGACTTCCTCACCAAGAAGCTGCCACGTCAGCAGTATCATCACTGCGGAAACATCTGCGGTATAACCAAGCGCGTCAAGACTTCATGAGTAACAAATCCTTAACGCGAAGATGACTGCAGCGAGGACGAAAGACCAAGCGACGGGAAGTTACAAGCAGGAAGAATTTGAAGTGCAAAGCGCGGGAAATGTTCAAACGGTTACCGGACCGCGTACGGTTGCCGAACCGCACGGTTGCGATGCTGCATCTAGATTAGTCCTAAGGGGATTGTACCCCCTCAGAGTACATGGCTAGCTAGGTCCACTGTATTCCCATATAAACCCTTGTACCGCATTGTAATAGTCACTTCTGTCGAGATTCAAATCTCCTTCTGACAGAGTCCGTACCTGACATTACTTAGCAATCTTCCGCTGCTACACTCCGTGCGATCAACCTGAGACGATCCTATAAGACGGTTCAGATTGTATCACTTGCTGAAACTGCTGACGTGGCAGTCGCTTCGTGAGGAAGTCGGCTTCCATGTCACCTGTTGGGCAATAGGTCAGATCGACCTTGCCCTTGTCAATTTCATCCTTGACAAAGAAGTACCGTCGTGTATGTGATCATGATAACACACAAGTGGTATCTTTCAAAGTGTAGTGACCATGACTAATAAGGTTTCTAATTTCGATATTTTCTATATTCCAAATTCACACACGAAACTCCTCACAACGAATACGCGATTCCACCCCGAGATCTACATTGCACGTGTGCCAACAAATCCGAATCGGTCGGTGGTGAGGTGACCAGATTTGAATATGCTTTCCCGCTCTTGAAAGAATATCTAGTGAAGGAGCGGAGTTAGGGAGACGGCTGGCAGCTACTCGCGTAGGAGCTAAGCGATCGCGTTTACAGACGCAGCCGACGCATGCGGAAGGTCGTGCGTCCTAGATTCGACGTTGTCAGAGTGTACGCACGTCCGTCCTTACCAAATCGCCTGTTCTACGGCTCTGTAAAGCATTCTTGCGGGAGTGTGTCCGTCCATACGGCCACTGCCTGCACCTCTGAAAGATTCCGCGCAACTATCCGCTCCACGATTCTCGATATAGGCTCAAAATTCAGTACTTTTCCTTAGATCTTTCATTCGCTAGCCAACGCTTAGTAGCCGCCAGTCCACCCCATTGCCCCCCATCTCCCCCATCTCCCAGCATCCACGCTCCATACGCCGACCGTCGTCCTCCCGCCCGCCATGTTCACGTCAACCACGCGGCGCCAGCCCGGCGGCAGCGGCGCGCCTGGCGGCGCCCGGCACCGCGGCCTCCTGACTCTCAACTCAACCTTTCACGCGTCCGTCCCCTCGGGCGCCTCGTCCTCCGCCGCCTCGCTCTTCTCCTGGTTACCCGGATTCGCGAATGCGACGCCGTACCGTCGCGTGCCTTCGTCGTCGTCGTCGTCGTCCGCCTCCGCGGCAGGCCCGCTCCGATCGCCTGGACACAGCATGACCGGCGGCGGCGGCGGCGGGGGATTCGGGGCGTTTCGGCTGAGCATGCCGGGGGGCGATGCGACGGGCGGCGCGGATAAGCGGCGCGGGAGCGTGGCGGTGTGCTGCGTGGTGGTGCTGCTGATCATCGCGCTGGCGTCGGGCGGTGGATCCGCCATCTGGGATGGTAGGGACGAGGGATGGGGAGAGGAAGGGATAAGGGGAGGGAAAGAGGAAGGGGAGGGAAAGAGGAAGGGGAGGGAAAGAGGAAGGGGAGGGAAAGAGGAAGGGGAGGGAGAAGGGTGAGGGTGAGATGGGAGGGGAAGGGAGGGGGAGGGGAGGGGGGAGGGAAGGGGAAAGTAGAGGGAGAGTCAGTAATGTGTAACACCCTCCCGTTCTCCACTCCCGTTCCCGAATTCCCTCCCTCCACCCCCATCCCCAATCCACTCCCACCCCCCCACCTTCCGTGCTTCCCCCCAGCCTTCTCCGCGGGCCCCTCCTACGTGTCGCTCTCCGCCACCCCCGACCCCGCGTCGCTGCGCGCCGAGCGCGTGTTCGCGCAGCCGCCGTGGCGCGTGCGGGACGGCAGCGAGGCGGGGTACCTGTACGGCTGGACGGGCCCCGCGCTCGCGTACCGCATGGCGTGGAAGCAGCCCGCCGCCCACGGCGGAAGCGCAGGGGCGGGGGGGAATACTTCCGCGGACGAGTTCGCGCTGGCGATGCGCGTGGGGGGAGTGCTGCGGCGCGTGGGGGTGTCGACGGTGGCGGCGAGCGGGCACACGCTGGCAGTGACTCCGGGGGGCGTGGTGCTGTCGTGGGGGCGCGACTGGGACGCGCGCAGGCGCCCCGCGGGGCTGCTGGGGCGCGCGGACGGCGCGTTTTGGCGGCCTGCGCCGGTGGAGGGGCTGACGGGGGAGGGGCAGGTGGTGGCAGTGGCGACAGGGCAGTATCACTCCGTTGCTGTGATGGAGAGCGGTAGGGTGTTCACGTGGGGGCTCAACAACAGGGGGCAGCTGGGCCGACCAATCAAGAGCAAGGTTCGACAGGCTGAAAGGGAGGTGTGGAAGGGAGGAGGGGAGGGGTGGGAGGGAGAAGGGGTGGGGAGTGGGGAAGGTTGGGCGGGAGAGAGAGGAGGCTGAGGAGGGTGGGATTTGGTGGGAGAGGGAGCCGAGTGGGAGCGTGTGGGAACAGATTCAGGTGGGGTTATGAGGAGTTTGTGTGGCTCAAAGTGCCCGATTAACAAAGATCATATCAGCTGTGCATCCTCATCACTGTTCCAACCCTTTCTACCCTACTCTGAACACCCAACGGTTTTTCTATCCACGTCCCGTTCCCACCCACCTCTTGCGCACTTTCCCATTCGCACAACAGCTCGCTGCATGCAAGCCCACACTCTTGCAGACGGAAATGAATCACAGAAACCGCCTCCTCATCCCTCTCCCTCCCACCTCTTCCCCTCCCTCCCGCGTCCCGCCCCATCCCTTCCCTCCCACATCCGCCCCACCCCGTTCGCACATCCACCCGATCCCACCACATCCCACCCATCCCCACATCTTATCCCACCCCCACCAGGAAGACGGCTTCCGGCCGGGGCTGGTGGGAGGGCTGCTGGCCCAGGAGCGAGTGCTGGCGATAGTGGCTGGGCGGTACTTCACACTCGCCATCTCGCAGCACGGCCGCCTCTTCACCTGGGGCGCCAACCTCTACACCGGCGACGCCCCCTGGCGCCACGAGCACGACTCCGGCTTCGATGACGATGCCGATGCTGCTGCTGACGAGTTCCCAGAGAAAGGACCCGCGGGCACGGCCGGGAGCAGCAGTGAGAGGGAGGCGTGGCGGCAGCGGCTGAGAAACGCGGCGCTGGCAGCGGCCCAGCCAAGGGTGGTGGAGGCGGGGGTGGAGGGGGAGCAGGTAGTGGAGGTGGATGTGGGCACGGACCACTGGGTGGCACTCACAGGGTCGGGCATCGTGCTCGTGTGCCACACTGGGTTCACTCCTCAGGGGATTCGGGTTGACCCTGAGCAGCACAGATCGTGGCTGGGAGTGGCGCCTGGGGTTCCCCTGGACCGCCCTGCTGCTGTGCGCGTGCCCCCGCATCTGGGCTCCCATCCTGGTGGAGGGGAGGAGGGGAGGGCGGCAGGGCCGGAGGTGCAGTCGGTGGCAGCGGCGCACCACACGACGTTTGCAGTGACGGCGGATTACAAGGCCGTGTCGTGGGGCGAGGCGGGGCCACTGCTGGGGCGCGCGTGGGGGGAGGGCCAGGGTCAGGTGCCCGCGAATCGGCCGGGGGTTGTGGGGAGCGGAGCAGGGGGAGGAGGGGCAGTGGGAGGGGAGGGGGTGGTTGGGTTGGATCGGCAGACGGTGGAGCAGGTGTCGGCTGGGGAGGGCTTTGCTGTGGCGAGGCTGAGCCATGGCGTGGTGTACTCGTGGTGAGTTGCGCAGTGTGGATGAGATCCTGTACTTTTCGTGTCTCCCCCCTCCCTCCCAACCTCACCACCACTCCCCCCCCCCCCCCCCCCCTTGTCCCCCCCCCCCCCGCGCTCTTCCCTCCCTCTCTCCAGGGGCGACAACCAGCACGGGCAGCTAGGCCGCCCGGCGCCCTCTCAGGACGGCACTCCGGCATTAGTGCAGGGGCTGGAGCAGCTGGAGGTGCTGCTGGTGGTGGCGGGGTCGCAGCAGGGCCTGGTGCTGTGCCGCGCACTGCAGGGCTCTGAAGCCGCCCTGGAGCCCCAGGAGTTTGACGACACGCGCGTGCTCAATGAGGAGCACGTGTCGCCTGCATCGCTGCCTGATCCCGATGCTTCTGCTCCTGCTGCTGCTGTGCCTGTGCCTGGTGGTGCTGGTGGCGTGGGAGCAGGGTTTGGTGCAGCAGTGGGTGCAGCAGTGGGTGCAGCAGGGGGAGCAGTACGGGCTATGGTGGCGGGTGGGGAAGGAACTGCTGTGGCGAGTGCAGCAGGAGGGGGTGACAGTGGTGCGGGGGAGAATTGGGGGGAGCGAGTCGGGGGAGGGGCGTCAGCGGCGGAGCAGGGGGGCACGGGAGGGGAGGGGTTGGTGGCGCGGGACATGTGGATGAAGTTTGGGGAGGAGTTCAAGATGCTGCCCCGGCAGGGCATGGACAGCAGCATGCGGAACCCGTGCTGGCGCGTGCAGGCAGGCAGTGCGGTGGGTAGTGCGGGCACGGAGGGGGGGGCAGGCCCCGAAGTGCACTGCCTGCCGTACTTCTTCATCATCGGTGCCACCAGGTGTGCCTCGTCTTGCATCTTTCCCTTTTCTTCTTCTCCATCTGCCATACCGATCGTCTTCAATCTTTTCTCCCAACTGTTTCCTTCCCCTGTCGGCTCCTGCTCTTGCTCTTGCCCCACATACCAGAATGTTGTCCGTCCCTCACTGCTCCTTCTTGCACTCGCCCTCGTACTTCCTGCTCCATCTCCTTTCCCCTTCCCCTCCCTGTGCACCATGCGTGTACCCACACACTCTCAGTGCCGCCATGCAAGAAGAATCTGTACCAGAACCTTACCCCTCATCCATCACGCCCGCTCTGTCTTGTTCTTCCCTTTCCCACCCCCCTTGTCTCGCACCCATTGCCTGCATGCATATCCCACCCCAATGCCGACACTGCCAGGGCGGGCACACAGGACCTGTACCGCAAGCTGACGTCCTCCATCACGCCTGCTCTGTCCTTCGCTTCCCTTTCCCCGCCCTCCTGTCACAAATACCTATCCCGCCCACCATCCCAGGGCGGGCACGCAGGACCTGTACCGCAAGCTGACGTCCTCCATCATCCCGGGCATATTCCCAGCCGCCATCCCCAACCCCCAGTGGTAGGACGACCTGCCTTGCCTTCTCCCCACCTCATGATGAGCACAATTCAACAATCCTTGTCCATCCTTATCCTCGCCCTAGTCAGTTTTTGTGCTGCCATGCCATCCCATCCCAGCAACAATCAATAAAGCACAACGTTTATGACACAATGCCATGATCCTCTCCACCCATCCACACACCACCCCCCTCCCCCCCCCCTTCCGCCCCACCTCCCTCCTCTTCCCTCCCCATCCCCCACTTCCCGTTTTGCCATGTATGTGTAGCTCGTTCCTGTCTTCGTGCGAAATGGCTCCTTGCAGTTTCTTCTTCTTTGAATGCTTCCACCAACAGCTCAAATCGCAGTCCTCTGTCTCGTCCTCCCTTCTCTGCTTCCCTGCCTCTCGTCCTCTCCCCTCCTGCCACACAACAACCACCATCCTCATCTCCCCACAGCCACTCCCCTCCCTCCCCTCCTCTCGTCCTCCTCAACTCCAACCCTCTCATGAACCCCTGTTCTTTGTAGAACCTCTCAAGACACAGCCCTTCAACCACGTTGTGTAGCATACATTGGACGAATTCTGACGCGCCATACCCTCCCCTTCCCCATCCTTAAGCATCCCAAACCTTTTAAACTAGGACCGCAACTGCCCGAGAGACACACACCCCCACCCATCACATCTCCCTGCTCGCCTCCACCCCTCCTCTTCCCATCCCTTCCCCGCGGTTTCCCCCCCCCCTCCTCCCCTCTCCTGCCTCCATTCCCCCGCTCCCCCATCCCCACCCTCCCTTGTGCAGGTGGGACCGCAACGGCGCGCGGGACTTTGCGTGGTACGTGTCGCTGTTTGACGAGGCAGCGCAGCACATGGTGAACACGGGGGGCAGCGCGGTGACAGGCGAGGCGTCCAGCACGCTGCTCACCAGCTCAGGCGTGGTGCTGCGAGGCCACGTGGATGACAGGCACACGGTGCCGCAGCTGCTGCACCTGGTGCTGCCCAGGAGCAAGTTCATTGTGATCCTCCGGAACCCCGTCGACCGCTTCTTCTCCGAGTTTAACCTCGCTGCTGCTGTCAACCCCTCGCCTTCTGTGCCCAGGGACTTTCATAAATACGTGAGTGCCTGCACTGAACCGCACTGCATCAAACCGCATTGCATTGAAACGCATTGCATCTTATTGCACTGGTTTCGAGTTTCTCAGTCCCTCCCCGCCCCCTCCCCCTCCCCCTCCCCGCACACACCCATTATGCACTTGAATCTTGCCTCCTCGATTCCCATCTCTCCCACAATGCTCTCTGACCCTCAAGTGGTCCTCGTATTGATATACCAAGCGCAATAGAAGGTGGGTACGTGACAAGCCTCTCTACGTACTCAAGCTCGCAAGCCGGCTCCCAAGCAACAGGTGCGGTGCATGGACTCATCCACCCCACCTCGGCCATGAATGCGCTGTGGGTTGGTCTTGGCGGTGTTGTTGGCTTGAGCGCTCGTTGCAGGGTGATGGAACACCGCTGGCGGTAGTGATGGAATGGAAGAGCCTGTGGCGGCAGGGTGGTTTGGTTTCCGCTGCACTCAGGCGTCTAGGGAGAGCTGCTCGGCTGTTGGCGTCTGGACTCTGGACTGGAGAGCGGGAAAAGAAAAGAGAAGAGAGTTGCACTGGGTGCAGTGAGCCTTTGGTGGCGCTGAATAGGTGCGCTGTTGCGGCAGTTGAAGCCAGGTATCCGGGAAAGTGCTCGGCAGCCGCGTGTGAGTTCCTGACCCCGGCCGGAATGTTGAAGGGAGGCCATGTGGAGGAAGTGCGGGACACTCCCAGCGCAGTCCCAGGGGGGGGTGGGGGAGGGGGGGAGCCCAAGAACGTGATGACGTCTGCGGTAGGCCAGGGCGACGACCTTGGGGTGGGAGGCGGCCACTGCTTTGAAAAGGAGAGAGGGCATGTGGTCGCTCCTTGCGCTCCTTTTCGGTTGATGGCGGCAGCGAAACGGAGAGAGGGGGGGGCATGTGATCGCCCTGGCGAGTGATCACCCATGGCGCTGATGAGGTGGGCGGCGTTGAGTTGAAGCCGTTGTCGAGAACGAGCCGCGAGTGGCTGCTGCTGTAGAACGATGCGGTGACGAAAAGGAATGAGGAACTGTCGGGTAGCAATGACGAAGCCCCTCGAAACGCCCCCCCCCCCCCTCTCGATGGCGTTGAAAGCATCACTGATGTCGAGGTGGAGGTCGGGCTGTGTCATCAAGGTAGGTTCTGGAGGAGTGGATGATTGCTTCGACCCCCGCCCCTACAGCGACCCCGTACTGGATTGGGATGAAGTGTTGGCGCACCAAGGGGGCACTGGGCAGCAGCGAGCAGGAGGGCCGCTTTTGCAATGAGGTGGTCATGACGGCCGTTCTCATGGCCATTGGGCAGACCCCGCCCTCAGGTTTGGTGAAGGCTTTTGAGGTGCCTCAAAAGCGGCCAGGCTTGGTGAAGGCAAGGAGTCGCGAGGCTGTGAGGAGTTGGGCTGCCTCCGTGGTGAGCCTCCCTGCGAGTGCCGTGTTCATGAGTGCCAGAAATTATGCAGCAACGCCTCGTGCCAGAAGGTGTTAAGGGGGCGTCATGTAGGTGTTCGAAGCACATGCCGGTCGCCCCGGCGCCAATGCTGTTCTTGCAACCGTAGGTCTCGGAAGGGGATGGTAGGCTGGTAGGTGATGGCAGCCTTTTTGGAAGAAAGGTGATGGCGTTGGGGTGACGAGAGTGGAGGGCCTCCAGGGTCTCAGAGTTGGATGGGCTGACTGGGGTGCTCTCAAGGGCTTGCAAGGCCTTGGCCAGGCTGCCGCGCTTGTCAAAAAATGTTGCATGAGAGAGCTTCTCGAGGGTGTCTGCGGCGGTTCATGGCAGGGGGAGGGGGGGGGGGGTTTGATTGCGGCGCAGGCGTCAGTGTAGAGCTCGCGCCACTGCCCTCCTGCTTGAATCGGAATGGCCGGTTGCAGATGGCAACCCAGTCCGGCGAGCAGGAGAAGGTGACTGTTAGTGTGAGGTGCGGGAGGAACAGCAGGAGCCTCCGGGCGGGTAGAGAGGCAGGGTCCTGGGCCAGGCGAAGTGGTAGTGTGAGCATGCAAGTCGCGAAAGTATCACGAATGTAGTTGGCGGGAGTTGCAATGGTGTGTGATGCCCCATAGTTTGATGTTGGCAAACATCGAAGTGTTGTCAGCGAGCTGCGCTCCTGATCTCCTCTGCCCCCTCTGCCTCCTCTGCGTCCCTGCCTTGTCCTCAACGTCTGTCGGAGTGGCTGGCCGCGTGGGCTGTGAGAGCCTGATGTCCACAACTGGTGTTGCTGCTGGGTGCGTGCGTCTAGCTCAGGCTGAAGATACGTTCGTGCGCGCATCGCCGCCAGTGGTGCATCCGCTGGTGCAGGCACCACAGCAGGACCAGTGGGCGCCGGGGCTCGCCGAGGATCCCCTGGTGGCAAAGCGACAGGGGGGAGCAGCAGGCGGAATGGCGGCGGACCCGTCATTTGCAGAGTCCCCCTATTGCTGCCGGCCTGTGCGGTGATGGTCGTACGGGCCGGTTCCGTGTGATCTCCCGCTCCCGGGTGGTGACTGAGGATTTAAGGGGGCGCAACTGAAAGTCGCCGCGCAAGGTGACAGTGTGAGAGGACATTCTCTTGCGCCTGTGGCATGCGCCGGCCAATGTAGAGAGGTGGTGGCGCGGCCACAATGGTGGAGATGGAGGGCCTGTGGAGTATGCCTAGGGGGTGCACGCGGGATGCGGGTGACGGCGCCGCGGGGGCAGTGGGAGATGGACTACCCCGGTATCAGGCCATGTCGAGATGCTGCTTGGGACTTGGCGCACGAGTTGGAGCTGGCGGTATGGGAGCATCAGGCAGGAAGAGGAGGACGAGGGAGAGGCTGTGGTGCTCGAGGCAGTGGAGAGCAGGGCTCGGTCACGCGCACCTGTAGATGCTGTGGACGGCTGCATGCTAGCGCTCCGTCTAGTTGATAAAATTCTGTAGTGCGGTTGTTGGAGGGAAGGGGCGTAGCAGGGCAGTTGTAGGACAGAGCGGAGGCGCCTGATTATAATAGGGTAACATAGATTCGCCAGCACCGTAGGTCCCTGAAGCTGCTACAGGCCGTGCATGGTCGCCCCCGGCACCTGAGCGCATGTGCAGGGAATGGTGTCTCTCAGACACTCCAAGCCCTCCGGCTTCCCTTCCCCACCACAGCACGCATGAGAGCACGTGTGGAGAAGAAGCGATTGCATGCGATTCCAGTTCACGCCTATGCACATGCAATTTCCAATCGCTGCACCTCCCCTCTCCTTCTCCCCTCGTTTCCCCCTTTCAACCCAGGCTCGAGATGCGACGGCGCGCATGAGTGCGTGTGTGGAGAAGGAGGGCGCGCATGCGTGTGTGCGGAAGCTGTTCAGAGACATGCCGGACCTGTGCGGCTCGTTCTATGCTTACTTCATCCAGGTGTGTTGTGTTGTGAGTCGACATGTATGTACCAAGGCCCCCCTTCTTACCAGCACTTCCCGCCTCCTCCTTCCACCCATGGTGCTCGTCCGTGTGGGGGGGGATGTCTGACATGGGCCAGATAGCACAGCCAAACTTTTCTCAACATTTTGTCCCTCCCACGCACCCTCCTTAAGCAAGTCACTCTCCACATCCTCCCTCTTCGCTTTCCCCCCACCCTCCCTCTTCACTTCCCCCCCACCCTCCCTCTTCACTTCCCCCCCACCCTCCCTCTTCACTTCCCCCCCACCCTCCCTCTTCGCTTCCCCCCCACCCTCCCTCTTCGCTTCCCCCCCACCCTCCCTCTTCGCTTTCCCCCCACCCTTCCTCTTCGCCTTCGTGCATGTCAGAGGGGAAGGGGGCGTGAATGGTCAACCTGGAGCTGCTGTTTGAATCCTTTCATTTCAGATCTCCCATCCCACCGGTGTTAATCCCCAGTTCCCTTCTCCTCTCCCCCTTTCCCGTTCCCTTTTTCTCTTCCCATCCCCCCTCTCCCATCCCTCCCCTTTTCCTCTCCCTTCACCCTTCTCCGACATCCCTCTTCCCCACCCCACCCTTTTCTTCCCTCTCCCTCTGTTCCCCCTCTTCCGTCGTGAGGTCTGGTTCCTATGCTTCCACCCACAAGACTTCCACTTCCTCCACTTCAAGGGCTACACAGCCAGCCCACACCAAGCCATTGCACTCGCCCCCTCGTCCCCTCCCTTCCCCTTCCCATTTACCCCTCGCCTCCCCCCCCCCCCCCCCCCCCCCACCTGCAGGACTGGTTCCGCTCGTTCCACCCCCAGGCCTTCCTCTTCCTGCGATTCGAAGACTACATGGCCAACCCCCGCCCACACATCGCCCAAACCCTCGACTTCCTCGGCTTCCCCGCTGCTGACGTGGCGGAGGAGCAGTGGGTGGGGATCATCGACCTGGAGCGCGTGGAGCAGCGGCCGGAGGGCATGGCGAGGGAGGAGCTGGATGGGGTCACACGGGAGTACCTGGAGGCGTTCTTCGCGCCTTTCAATGCAGATCTGGTGCGGTTGCTGCGTGATGAGAAGTATTCGTGGAAGAGAGGGCAGAGGTGATAGGGGACGGGTGGAGAGGAGAGAAAAAAGGGGGGAGAAGGGGGAGGGGGATGGGGAAAGGGGGGTTAGGGAGGTAAGGAGGTGGGGGTGAGGGGAGTAATGTGCCAAAGTGTTTTATTGGCACAGAGTACTGGGTGGGTGGGTGGGCGGATGGGTGAGAGGCTTAGGAAGTTGGTCAATGACTCTGACTGGACGGCTTCATACACATTTTAGTTGTTTGTTGTACTGTACAGAAGTGCAACCGTTACTAGGCCTTTAAACTGTTGGAAGGCGTATATTGTAAGAGGGAGTCGACAAAGCACGTTGATATCATTGATTGTCCTGTGAAGATAAGCTTAGCCTAGGATTAGGAGAAACCTAGGCTAGGTACAAGCGGAAGCGAGATGACGAGAAGGTTGGCCAAAGAGGATTGCATTATGGAGCGACAAGTACAAATAGGAACAAGAAGCAAGATGGGTGTACCGCCAACAAGGGTTACTTGACATAACAACACTACAACTATAGCTACAGAAAATTATAGATATATATTATGACATGTCCACCCGCCCCCTTCGACCTTTCTCTAAAAGTATTGCGTTCTTGCCGAGGAGCGGGAGCAAGAACGATCGACTGCTCACCCACCGAACTAGATGGGTCTAGGCGAAATTTTATGAAATTTCAGAAGTTTATTCATGCAACGTACGTAGGTAGATTTGGCGTACCACAGATTCGAAGATTGCTGAATACGTATTAAAATATGTTCCTCGCGAAGATGCTGAAGAACAAGGAATTGGCTTACCGTAAGCCCCCGGATAAAAGCGCAGGCCTCGGATAAGCGCCGGCGCTTATAAAAGGATGAGGGTTCTTATATCCGGTCCTCGATTATAAGCGCACCCCTGAAGGCTTACGGATTATAAGCGCCACCCTCTTATTTTTTATTGTAATTTTACTGAAATCGTTGTAACGAAACTCAACATTTCCACTCCCACATTTGAAATTCGATGCCCTTTCACCCTCGCTCGGCTCACTGGCAGCGCGTCCAGTCAGAATGAGCTGTCAGAGGCGCACGTTGACTCATTCTGACTGAGTGTGTTGGCAGGGAATCAATCCCTGCCAACTTGCACGCGGGATTCTCAATCACAGCCCTGAATAGTTTAGACTCGATGCAATTCCCAAGAACGGGATCTACAGTTTGGTGGAAAAACGACGAATGTCATATATGCTATTATATAAGCACCGGCGCTTATAAAAATCCTCAACTATAAGCGCACCCCCTAAAAAAGCGTGTTATTTTATAACCCCAGGGGCGCTTCTATCCGGGGGCTAACGGTATCTTGAAGAGATTTCAAATGATGTGCTACGTCTGGCCCAATTAAATCCGGCCTGTCCAGGGCTGACGTTTCATTTTGGGCCTCCCTGATTTCGGGAAAAAAATCCCCCCTGTATCATGAGGGCACATTTTTCAGAGGTTTGCTACTCTGATTGGTCAGTGTCCAACAACGTCTCACTCTGATTCGACAGGGTTCAGAGCAAGAAATCAGTGTTGCAGTCAATCACACAATTTTCTCCCACGCGGATTATACATTTCCCACGCCTCACTTCTTGGCCGGTCAAAGTCAACAGAAAACACAACCAAGTTGGCAGCCGTGATTGTACTGTACAGAAGTCACACAAAGCATTGGGTCAGAGCACGCACGGTTCTGAAGATCGCCCGCCATGAAGATCTGGACAAGTGTACCCAAAATTACACGTCAGTGTAACTTGGCACCACACAGCCACGAATATGGCCCACAAAGTGCCACCCATGCAAACTGACTGCACGATATCACGTGTTGTCTGCGACCCTCAGCACATGCCAAAGTACAGTGCACATTCGTCATCAATCACAGTATACGTACATTTGTAGACGGTGAGCGAAACACCTCGAAACAACCCCCAAAACAATTGGAGCCACAATAGGCGACAAAACAGCACATTGCATGAACTGGCGATGGTGTAACCCCCTTCCTCGATTAAATAAGCCTGTGCTTTGAAGAATTCCGCACACATTGCAAACATTCACGCCGTTCCTCTCAACTTCTCAACTCCAGCCACCGCCATGAATGTCGTTCTGCTTCAGATTGCTATCGCGTGGGCGAATTTGAAGGCACATCAGATTCGCCCTGTCAGAGCAAATTCGCACAAGAAATTTGCCCTGTCAAGGACAAGAGATTCGCTCTTAGACAGCAGATCTGCTGTGTCATATGTGTTATGCCGAAAATCCCCGCAGCACCCTGTGCCTCGCACGACACCACAAACATCCACCCCACCCATCCCACCTTCCCCCCAAACATCCACCCCACCTTCCCATCTGGGTGTTACTTGTCGGTATAACTGTACAAAAAGGACTCCTCACATGGGTACAAGCGAAATCATGATTACGCACAAGGGGGGGTATCAGGAGGAAATTTCCGGGAACCTTCGTCCCGATACCCTCGCATTCAGGGTCCACAGATTGCGTACTCTACATTGACAGAGTCAGTAAGAACACTACTCTGAGCCTAGATACAACATTTCAGGGTTCGCTAAAGCACTATTCTGAATGGATCAGTGTTCACAAGTTAGAAAATCTGAAATTGCAGGGACCACCAGGTGAGAAGCCTGTAATCACCTTGAAATCAGGGTAATTGCACTGATAAAATCAGCTCTGGGCCTGTCGCAAGCGGAGTTACAGTAGCGGTGCAGGGTTAACGACGCTGGTAAGGTTAACTCTCATAATTCCAGCGACTAACCACTGGGAAAAAAAGGCTTGTTTTTTAACAGGCGAGTGCAAACATAACCCCCCAGGCTAGAGTCTCTGTATCCCTTCTCGAGGATCAATGTGGCATCCCCAGAGCAGGTCTTGCAACACCCCCCCCCCTTCACTGGGATGCCCTGGGACACGGCAACAGCAGGATCAACAGTGGCACCAACATGCGCACACATGCGAACTTGAACCAGAAGCCTTCCACTCTAGTACCGTGAGAGTACGCCGTCCGTGTCCGTTTCTGCACAGCAGCACATAATAGGATTGCGTGCATCGTACTTTACCATTTTCTTGATTTATCTCGCGTTAGCTAGAGTGCGCGTGATTATTCACCGAATGCGTCTACCGAATTCGGGAAGGCTTGATACCCTTCAGTTCTAGAGCCTCGGTACCTTTTAGTAACACCAGTGTTACCCGCCCTGTATCGTACCTATATATAGCCACGACCTTGTACCCAGCTGATCACTACTTAATGAACATAGCTAGTTCTCACTTCAGATTTCGTCCGCTACCAAGCTAGCCTAAAAAAACCGGGGGGCAACGACGGCCACGCCGGTTCGGGTACGAAAGAGCCAGTTCCACGTTTGACTTTTAATTCCCCTCGTACGGTTAACGAAACAGGCATGGGGGTCACTGCCGACAATTTTTTTCCAAGCAATTGTGCAACTTCATGCCGAGCAGGAGCAGACACTTGAGGAACTCGAGCGGCTCGAAATTTGTTCGCGAACCAATCGGCAGCCGCATCGACAGTAGCAGCAACGGCAACGGCACTAAAAATTGTACCTGCAACAACGACAATGACTACAGTTCATCTCGAGGCTCCGAAGCTGAGGCTACCAAAGGCGTTCTATTCGACCGAGCGAGGTAGCGACGTCCGTCGATTCGTCGCAACACTCGAGATCTACTTCGAAACCGTTGGATGCACAACCCCGAACCAAGACACAACTCACAACGACCCTGTTGCGAGGCCCTTGCTGGAATGGATCTTCACAAACATTACCTTCATATGAGGCGAAGGGACCTGGCAGCAGTTTCGGGCAGCTATAATTGACAGGTCCAAACCAATAATTACATGGCGCTAAAAAATATCCACCGACACCGACGGTTTCAAGTGTGGCGCAGTATACACAGCAGATGGAGACTTATTGCGGTCGCATGGCCGACATAACTGAGGGCGAAAAAACCCAGTCGTACATCGCGGGACTGAAAAACAGCATTCGCCGACAAGTCGTGGCGACGAACTACAGTAAGTACAAGACGTGGTCAGCGCAGCCGAACAGTTTGACATGCTCAACAGTAGCTCGCATGGAACACGACGCAACCAGCCGAACAGGAATTTCGGCGCGGAGCGATTGGCACCTCCTACGACCGCCGACCCAATGGATATCGACAATGTCGACGCGAAGCAGCGACCGGCGCAATCCAAAACATGCGAATTCTGCGGCGTTAGAGGTCATCAAATATTGGCGTGTTGGAAAATCAAAACGACACAAGCCGAGCTACATGGAAATGTAGTGGAGGACCCCCACAGTAAAAGAAACGAGAAACTTCAGTAGCCGATCGAGCTGGCGAGGAGGAAAAGATGCGGAAAAAGGCACGAGCGCGACAACGTGTCAGCTGCGGAGGGGGCGAAAAAGGAGAAAATGATGGCGGGAATCTACCTCGTCACGACCGGCCGACACCAGGGAAAATCTTAGAGAGAAAAGGAGACTCTGCGAAAGGAGACTCTTCCCCTATGGGAATACGCCAGCCGTACACCCCGCCTAATAACAATTCGTTAAAATTTTCCTATAAAAGATACTTAAAGATTACTTCTCGTAGTTTTAAAGCCTTTGACATTTTTAGGGGAGATTTAGAGGCTAAGAGAAAACATTTATATGTTCTACTAGTACCGGCAAAGTTAGGGAATCAACCCAAGAGCGTCGAGAAGGGTCGGGCGTTACGAGGAGTTAACATTCTTTCCCATCGTGTTAAGGCTCCCCACTACACATACGTGACGCTACAAAGGTGCAAAGGCTTAGGGGAAGGTTCCAGCCTCAGGAGCAGTTAAAACGACCTCAAATAAATCCTTCGACCCACCCTCAGGTGAAAGTTGAGATAGAATCTACATCTTCGGGTGTATGACCTAGAGATGATATTGTTAAACTTGATGTACCCTACGATCCTATTAATGAGACTATCTTCGGATACTCAGAGCGGTAGCAACCACTCCTCTTCGTTTTGTTCTGCAAAGGAT